ACTTAAAAGACATTTCTCCGAAGACAAAACGCAAATGGCCAACAGGCATATGAAAAAATGTTCAACATCCCTTATAATCAGGGAAATGCAAATTAAAACCACATTGAGATACCATTTTACACCAGTAAGAATGGCACATAGCAAAAAAAAAGCAACAACAACGTTGGCGAGGATGTGGTGAAAAAGGAACTCTCCTACATTGCTGGTAGGAGTGCAAACTAATCCAACCACTATGGAAAGCTGTCTGGAGGTTCCTCAGCCTGCTAAAAATGGAGCTACCATACGACCCGGCAATTTCACTACTAGGGATCTACCCAAAGGACACAAAAACATTGATTTGAAAGACCACCTGTACCCTATGTTTATTGCAGCACTATTTACAATAGGTAAAACCTGGAAACAACCTAAATGCCCAAAAATAGATGACTGGATCAAGAAGATGTGGCATATACATAATAGAATATTGTTCAGCAATCAAAAAAGATAAACTCATAGCATTTGCAGCAATGTGGATGGAGCTAGAAGGAATTATGCTCAGTGAAATAAGCCAGAAGGAAAAAGAAAAATATCAGATGGTTTCACTTATAGCAGGAATATAGGGGAACCAAATAAGACATCAGTGTGAAAAATATTAACAGTACAAAACACAAGAAAGCAAAAGCAGACAATTATAAATCAGAGACATCCTGCAGGGGAGGAGGAGGGAGAGGGATCAGAGGGAGGGAGGGAGGAGCACAGGGGACTGAGGTGATGGTGCACGGGTGCCCTGGTGAAGGAAACTCTATGGGGACTGCACCTCGGGGTGGGGGGAAGCAAATATTGTTTAAAAATGAACAATGATGTAAAAAATTTTAAAAAATTAATTAAAAAAAAACACTTTTCTTCCAACTTATATCTCAGGTTGTTGGGAATGTGGTCTGGTTTTCATCGCTATCACTCTACTACCACAGTATGTTTAGATTATTCATTGTTTTTCTGGAGATTTTCTGTAGTTTTATCTGTGTTTTTGACATTTCTGTAGCTTCTGATAGTGATTACCTATTTCTTCTTGACTCTCTCTTTTCTAGGTATTCATTACATAAAATTCTTGTTTTCTGCTTTATTTCTGGTTTTCTCTGTTATAGTAAGCCGTGATATAATAGTACTTGCCAATAAATGATCTGGTGTCCTAACACCATTTTTTTTTTTGAATAGTCCGTTTTATCTCTGTTGCTTCAAAAGCCCATTTATCAGAGTATTTCTAGTTTTTTATTCCTTTGGTTTATATGTAGTTGAACTTACTATAACTTTATAAAGGTGGTGAATTTTGATAGAACATGATTCGCCCTCCCCCCTCCTTTTTTTCCCAGGAATTCTTGCCTCTTATTGTATATCTGTTTTTCTAAATAAACTTCACGATTAATTTGACAGATTTCATTAAAAATCCTATCGGATTGGCTTGTGATTGGAACTGTAATGAAATTTTAGATTAATTTGGGGAATAACAACTTTGTAACAGTAAGTCTTTAAGGAATATATTGGTGTAATCCATTTATTCAAATCCTGTACTTCTGTGTCTTTTAGGGAAATTATATAGTTTTCTTCATAGAGGGCTTTATGTATTTTTTGTTATTTTGTTCCTAGGTATTTTGTAGATTTCTAAAACTATTATGAATGGATTTTTTTTTTACATTTTCTAAATTTGCTGATGTATGCAAAAGCTATTGACTTTTGACCATATCTTGAATTGTGCCTCTCTATTTTCCACTAGATTGGCTTGGAGTTTTTAGATAAACTTCATATCTTGTGCAAATAACAACTGGGTTAATAGTTGTTATTGCAACTGGGTTAATAGCTGTCTCATTGCATACTCTGTCCTGCTAGCACATGTGGAATGCCAGTGGTGATAAGGCAAGAATTTGTGTCTTGCTCCTGGTTTTGATGGGAATGCACCTGATCTTCATTGTTAAGAGTCATGTTTGGTTTTTTCTGGTGAATGTTTTCATCATGTTTAGAAAGTGTGCCATTTCTAATTTTTTAAAAAAGATTTATTTATTTATGCATATAAGAACTGGGGTACAGGCCAGAGGTGTGGGGGATGAGATGATTCACCAGAGGCAGAACGGGGAACAGAACAGGCAGATCAATGGAAGTACACTGCTGAGGGGAGCAGTTGGTGTGGTGAGTCAGGAGAGGTCTGATGCGCCATGTGGGTTGCTCCCTGGCCGGGGGATCAAACTTGTGCTGCAGTGGCTGCGGACAGCTTCATAGGTTGTGTCCTAACCCTTTGAGCCAGCAGGGAGGCCCCCATTTCTAATTTTACTAAGAGTTGATGTCATGAAGTTGTGCTGAATTTCATCTAACTTCTTTTTTAAAAAAAGATTTATTTGGGCCTCCCCGGTGGCATGGCGGGTTGAGCACAGCTCTGTGGGGCTGTCCGTAGCCTCTGCAGCGCGGGTTTGAGTCCCAGCTGGCCAGGGAGATTCCTGCATGGCATGGCAGACTTCTCCTTTTGTGCCTGCTGCTCCCCTTAGCAGTGTGTTTCTTCAGTCTGCCTGTTGTGCTCCCTGCTCTGTCTCTGGCGAATGCTCTCACCCTCCCGTACCTCTGGCCTGTACCCCAGCTCTTGTATAAAAATAAATAAATTAAAAAAAGATTTATTTTTATTTATTTATGCATATAAGAACTGGGGCATAGACCAGAGGTTGGAGTTAGTGGATTCACCAGAGATAGGGTGGGGAGCAGCGGGCAAGACAGGAGAGGTCTGCTCTACCATATGTGGGTTAGGTCCTTGGCTGGGATGGAACTCAGGCCAAAGCAGTGATGGCACTACGACTTAACCCCTATACCTCCAGGCAGGCCCCTAACTTCTTCCAGAAAGCTATTAAGATGATGTCTTCTTATTACTATTACAGATTTCTGAGTGGTTAATGATTCTCACATTGTAGGAGAAACCTTGCTCTCATTGTTTCTAGCTGCAGCCAGGATTGAATATTTCTGGGTTAATTAACTTTTTGCTTGATTATGGTTTATTATTCTTTCAATGCACAGTTGGTTTGACTTACTAAAATATTATTTAAGATTCTTCACTTATCCAGTGACTTTGGTTCATGAAAAATTCTTCTGTTGTTAGCACTCTTGAGTTACCACTTTTTTGACTGGTTTTTATGATAAAATCATAAAAGTTTTTCCAGATGCTTATCCATTTCATTTAGATTTAGAAATAATTTTGGCTGATTTAAAGTTGTATATAACATTGTCATATAATTTTAAAGACTGTCATGTAAATCAGCCACTATATTACCTTTTACATTTCTAATATTGTTTTGATATTTCTTTTTATGCTATGGTCAGGCTTCCCCAAAACACAGTTGATGTGTTGACTTCTTTTTCTTTTTTTTAAAGATTTATTTCTTTATTTCTTTCTTTATTCATGCATGCATGCAATCACTGGGTACAGTCAGAAGCGCGGGAGGGTGAGAGAAATCACCAGAGACAGAGCAGGGAACAGAACAGGCAGACCGAGGAAACACATTGCTGAGGGGATCAGCGGGAGCGGCAGGAGAGGTCTGTGCAACATGTGGGACCCTCACCAGTGGCTGGGGATCGAACCGGTGCTGCAGAGGCCGCGGGCAGCTTTGCAGCCCAGCGCTCAACTCCTGCGCCACCAGGGGAGGCCCAATGTGTTGGCTTCATATAGGCTTACTTTTCCTATATTTTTGAGTTACTAGTTTGTTAATTTCCACCTTTATTTTCAATCAATCTTCTATATTGGTTTCCTAGCTTATGTTTTGTTGGTTTAAACACATTTTGAATTAAATAATTACTTCAGTACTGTTAAGTTTTTCTTTAAAGAAATGCTTTTAAGATGATAAAAACCTAAAAAATAAAATTAAAAATCTCTTGAATAGTACCTTGATTGCATTACATGTTTTTTCATAGGAAGTTTCTTCATTGTTACTCATTTTTTAAGAAGACTTGTGATTTTAGTTTTGGTTCCATATTTAACACAAGGATTGTTTTAAAGAGTAGCTTTATAAATATCCAGGTGGACAATTTTTTTCCTAGCTTGTTAGTTTTTAGCTTAGTAACATTTTGTAAAGACAATATAACCTTTATCCTGTATTATTATTTCTTTTTGAAAATTATTGAGATGTAGCCTGTGGTCTAATACTTAATATTTTGGGGATAAATATTCATATGTATCTCTTTTATCAAATTTAAAAATTATTTTTATTTTTTGACACATACATCAATAGTGTTTTATAAACAATTTATCTTCCAAAGGGTAATTATTCATTCTCCTAATGATGGATACTAAGCTTATTTAGCTTTTTTTGGCCTATGAACATTTTGTATTTTTATTTTTGGCTAAAAGGAGAATATTTCTGTAGGAGAGACTGACTCCTAAAACAAAAACACACTCATACATACTCATATACACAAACTAATTGGGTTAATTCTATTCATTCACATGTTTAATTTTATACATAATAATAATAATCACAAGATAACATATCCTCAATTTGTTTACTTCACTATTGTTTGGGGTTTGGTTTATTAGTGAAACCAGTGCAAATTGATTATATGTCAAATAACATAACCTCAAAATAGTTTTCTTTGTCCTCCATCTATCCTCTTATCTGAGGTTCATTTTCTTTTAGTTTAATTTAGGTTCCATTTTTAAAAATATGTTCTCTTTCAACAATTGTATTTGATATTTTCAATGACCTGTGATGATATTAACATTATTTAGCTGTTTACTTGCATGCTACCTGTTCTTTTATCATAACTCTCAGTTCTTAGTCCTTAGTTTGATGAGTCATTGGATAGACTAAGTTCATTAATTTTTTTCAAGAGGTCATATGTTCTTGCATATATATTTATGTTACTTTTACATGTAAATAACATCTCTATTGATATTTATTTTTTATTAACTTAAGAAGTTTTATTCCACTTCTTTTCCATTTTCACCTGAGGAAGTAATTCTTATTGATCTTGGTTTTTTTTGCTAATTTTAGGTAAGATTTATAAGCATTCTCAGCAACCTTTGATTACATATGAAAAACATGATGTGACAGACTATCCAAAGAACATAGGAGGATCCCGTTCTATATTCCTTCTAAAGGCTCATGGTAAGTTACAGGTATATTATTATTTCTTCTTTGTGGGATAGACCTCCTTATGACTCAGTGCTGGTTGGATTATGAAAAGGTGGTGGAAGTAATTTAGCAAATGTTCAGGAGTATTTTATATTTAAACATTAATATTTGCAGGTAACGTTATTCATCTTAATGTTTGTTAATTTTTATTAAAAATGAAGAGTAGGAATAATTCAATGGTTTTAACCTGGTCGCACATTAAAATTACCAGTGGAGCTTTTAAGATACCTGTAATTTTTAAAGAGTGCTCTAGTTGTTTCTAACTGCAGCCAGGGTTGAATATCTCTGGGTTAATTAGTTTAAGTTTTGTGAGATCTTAATTATGCCATTATTAAAGTAAATGCTTAATGAAAGAGTTATTTATGATTTTAACTGTTTAATTAAAACAGTAGTTTGATTTCAAAGATGTAGTTTGTTGGTGAAGAACTTATCAATGTGTATTTGAGGGTATATAACATACTTTGTGATATATGTTGGTGTCATGCATTTAAATGATGCGGGGAACCAGGTGGAAGAGCAGTAGTCTCAAGAAAAGCTCTTTTAGTGTGTTCTGGTTGTACAGATGAAAGTTGATTCCACCTGAAAAGTAGCTCTCTTGGTGTTGAAAAGATGGGATTTAAAAGTAGAGGTCTAGTGTAGTTTATACTATACTATACTGTTGTAGAAATTAGTAATTTAGCTGAACTGTTCTTATTTGGCATATTTCCATTATATTCTCTAGGGTTATCCATTTTAGTAGTTTCAATAAATGTCTTCACAGTTTGAAAATAACTTTATCTCTAATTTGCTTCTACTAGTAATTCTAATCTGACAGTAATTGGATTAAAAAATAGTATACCTGTTTTTTGTTGTATTTTTTTGTTGTAACCTTGGGCAAGTTGCTTAATTTCTTTTTGCTTTAGTTTCCTTATCCAGCAAAATGGGAATAATAATTGCAACTATTTCATAAGATTATTATAAAGATAAGTTAGATTAATATATGTAAAGCACTTAGAGACAGTGTCTAGTATGTAATGGAGGGTCTGTGGAAGTGTTAGATATAGTAATGGTGGTGGTAAAAGCTTTGATATATGAGGTCCTTTTAGGTTCTGCTTATGTCAATTGAGCTTATTTTGCTTACTCTTCCTATTTTGTGAGATTTTGACTTGGTCATTAAGAAACAGCTTAGGGCCTCCCCGGTGGTGCAGGGGGTTAAGATGCAACCTATGAGGCTATCCGCAGCCACTGCAGCATGAGTTCGATCCCCAGCTAGGGAGCTACCCACATGGTGCAGCAGGCCTTTCCTGACTGGCCCGCTGCTCTCCTCAGCAGTGCATTTCAGTCAATCTGCCTGTTCTGTTCCCCACTCTGTCTCTGGTGAATCCTCTCAACCCCCATACCTCTGGCCTGTACCCCAGTTCTTATATGCATAAATAATAGGTACATATTTAAAAAAAAGAAAAAAGAAACAGCTTAATTAGTTTGTGTTGTCAACTGTTGTATTTTCTCGCCTGTAGGTGCCTTAATGTTTGTGGCGTGGGTGACGACCGTTAGCATAGGTGTGCTGACTGCTCGCTTCTTCAAACCTGTTTGGTCAAAGATTTTCTTTGGTAAAGCAGTTTGGTTTCAGGTAGGTAGGAGAAAAAGTTGAATGCAATTTCCATATTGTTTGGACATTGCAGCATGAAAACATATGAAGTATATAGACTTTGCATGTATGTGTGTGTGTGTGTTTGTGCATGTGTGTATATGCATGTGAAATGCAGTTTTGGAAACCTAGCACTTTATTTATTTAGTTTGCCTTTTAGTTTCATAACCAGTTGAGAATAGACACAAGGTGTCTGACAGAGATCAAAGTAGAGACAGCTTTATGAAGGGTCAGGTTGGACTGGAAAATGTTATCAGAGCCATTTGAGTCTCATCTCTTTTTAATATAACTTTGGGACCCAAATGACCCTGCCTTATTGGTGTAGTTGCAGGTGAGAGGCTAGAAGAGCATTACCCACTTCACTGAACACAGATAGATCAAGGAAGGCAGGAGAGCAGAAGAAAGAAATAGTGGGCACTTAACTGTATTCAAAACAAGGGGCTGTCCTCTGTTGAGACTCTTTCTAGCTCAACAATCAAGACCTCTCTTTCCTGTGTGGGAGGGAAGAGAAATAAGGAGTGTTCCTTTTCATTCTCCCCTTCCTGTGAGATGGGGGTGGGCAGAAAGTCTCTTATTAGGAATACAAGTAAGAATCAGTAAGTACCCCTCAAAAGCAAACAAAATAAACCTTATTCTTCATCAATCATAAGGTATAGGCATTTGCTCATATAGTTAAAGATCAATAGGTATGTGTTGAAATAGAGTGTACATGTCTGCTCATAGAAAAAACCTGCTATTGGAACAATTTTAGCTTGGTAAGAGGTTATTTTCAAAACTTCATATTCATATAACTTGTAGCTTTTAAGCTACTCTTTCTAACCTCATTTCTCACTATCGGCTTGCAGGGTCAATCTGTTTCATTTATTCTCACTACTTCTGCATGGTTTGCTCCTGTTTGTCTCTGCCTTTGCCCACTTCTCTTCTCTCACTCATCTGCTCAAGTGAACATTCTCTATTATAAAACTCTATATTTTCTCTTTACAGAATTTAGCATTTACTCAAATGTTTCTTTGCCTTCAAAACTATGGGGTGTGTGTGGGGCAAAATATATGTAAGGTGATACATACATATATGACAATATGTCCTGGCCTGGGATAGGGTTTTTTTTGGCACCAGGTACCCTGATGTAATTAATTAGCAGTTTCCATTTTCACCCTTAATATTTTATATGGAAATACATTTCATATGTATTTCTGTTATCACTCAGTTATATCCCAAGCTCCTCAGTTGACAGAATTGTCTGTTTCCTTTGCTGTCTTATTGTATATCTGGTATAGTGCCATGCTTGGTGGTGGAACTTAATAAATATATTTGGGGAAAAAATGAAGCGCCTGGTAAATAAGGTTCTCTGTGAAATATCCATTCCGATACTCTGTGTCTTGGCAAATATTTGAGAATGATGAGGATGTCCGCTTCATATTTTCTTGCAAGTTCAGTGCTATATTAAGATATTTTAGGCTGGCCACAAACTGTGATTAGATGTCAGTTGGTTGCTTGCCTTCAGTGAATCTCACCCCATGGTAACAGCAGCTCCCTTCTCTTATGTAGTTAACTCTCTCCTCACTCTTGCAGGTGCATCGAGGGCTCATGCTCACTACATCTGCCCTCACCTGCATTGCTTTTGTTCTGCCTTTTATTTACAGAGGCGGCTGGAGTTGGGTAAGTATATCTTAAGCTGGATGGTTTTATGTAAATGCAACTTGACGTCAAAGGTAATTGCTGTTTCATTCTCAAGTGATGGGTAAAAGATATTTCTGCATGTATCTCTCTTTTTTGAGTCATCTGATGGCTTTCACATGATCAGGGGTCGTGAATGAAGTGAGGGTGTCAGTGCAGATTACTTGTAATGAAAGTTATTATTTTTAGGGTACATCATAAATTATGATGCACTATTTAACTTTACTGAGGTGTTTTTTTTTTTTCCCAAGAGTGGTGAAACTTCAAAGTGTGATATTTAAGGAACATGACCACTGTGTTTTTCTCTAATACTATGATGACCACTAAGCAAATATTACTTGCATTCCTATTATGTAACTAGATGTGTTTTGTGCTTTGCATGTGTTACTACATTTAAACCTCAAATAAAGTACTTATTGGTAATGACCCCATATCATAAATGATGAAACTGAGGCTTATCCTCATATAATGTGTTTATCTCCAGCTTAGCCTTCTCCTCTGATTTAAGACACACATCTGTGTACTCACAGCTCAGCTTGCATGTTTAAAACATCTTAAACCTAACATGACCAAAGTGAAATTTCTGATCTTGTCCCAACCCTACTCTACCTTCTGTCATCTCCATGTAGTGGTTGGTAGTTACTATCTTAGCCAGAGCCTTGGAATGATTCTCAGCTCTGCTCTCTAGCACACCCACTGTCAAATCCATCCAGTATTACCAGTGGTGGTGGAAAGTGTTGTATTTTATTTTTATTTTTTTTAAAGATTTTTCTGTGCATACTAGAGCTGGGGTACAGGCCAGAGGTGTGGGGGATGAGAGGATTCACCAGAGACAGAGTGGGGAACAGGCAGATGGGCCGGAGTACACTGCTGAGGGGAGCAGCGGGCAAGTCAGGATAGGTCTGCTGCACCATGTGGGCTGCTCCCTGGTGGGGCGATGAACTCATGCTGCAGAGGCTGCTGACAACTTTATAGGTTGCACCTTAACCCTTGCGCTACCAGAGAGCCCCCGAAAGTGTTATATTTTAAATGTAGACCTTTATTTTGAACTGAGGAGGGAAGACTTTACTATATTGACTATACAGGCTATTCAATTTAATCAGCAAACATTTACTGAGTGACTGAGACTCTGTTAGCACTGGGGTTATAGGAATCATAAAGAACCCACAACTTCGGGAAAACATAGAAGCCCAAACAAATAATTATATTATTTTGGGATGATTGCTCTTAACATGTGCATACGAACCTCCAGGATGGCTGCAAATGCCCCTGCAGGCTTGGCAGTCATTCGACATCCTCATGGGGAGAGGCAGCATTCCTGTATTGCTTAATATCTCTGAGCCTGAGTTGCTCTATTTGTAAAAGTGGGATACTGATAGCCTTAACCGTCAAGCATTGTTGTGAGCATTAATGATAATGTGTGTAAAGTGTGTGCCCAGCGTAAAGTAGCCACTCAGTGAATGGTGTCCATTATCATCTTCAAATGTTTGAAACTACAGAAAAATGCTAAGAATGCATTATGTGTGTTATTTTAAACTTAAGGATTCGATCGATGGAAGAGATTGAGAGCATTAAAATGATGTGATTTCTTCAGTGTGCAGGTTATCACCCATACCTTGGTTGTATAGTGATGATTTTAGCAGTTCTGCAGCCTCTTCTGGCAGCCTTCAGGCCACCTTTACATCACCCAAGGTACTTATGGCTTTTATATATAAGTGCTCTTACTATGGGGATCATTAGTTGACAAACTAATCTCAGTTCAAGTGGAAATATTTTGTATTTTATAAAATTCAGTGCTATATTTATTTTGAAAAGCTTAAAAATATATCTTGAATATGTAATTCTTAAAAGGAATAAAGGAATTGCCTGCATTTATGTTCTTGGGAATTCATTGTAGTTCTATCACGTTTAAGAATATTAACTAGTTCTTTATTTTGGTAGAAGGCAAATGTTTAACTGGACTCATTGGAGTACTGGAACAGCTGCTAGAATAATAGCAGGTAAGTAATTGTGATGCCACTTATTCATATATAATTGCTGGTTGTTTAAATTGCCTGTTGTAATTTGGCTTAAGTGATTTTTAGATGCATTAGTAATTGTAGTAATTGGTTGTTGAGGAGAAATCAGCCTTAAACATTGAAATCCAGAAAGTAATTTCTGGAAGTAATTATTTAATTATTTCAGTTTTAAACTTAAGATTTTAAAAATGACTTTAAAACTCTTCTTTTAAGACTTTTAGCATTTGCCTTTGCCAGCAAAGTACACAATGCTGATAGCAAATACTTAAGCAGATCAAGTTGAGGGTTATTTATTCCTTAAACTAAGGTAGGCTGTAGGGGTTCCAGCTCTGTCTCCATGTCCTTTTTGTAGATGGTGCCTTCCAGGGAAGGGTGGTTTTCAAAAGTCAAATATGATATCCAGTATATTTTAATGCCTTATACTATCATGCGATACCTAACAACAGTGATGTGTTCTGAGAACTGCATTTTAGGTGACTTTATTGTGTGCAAATGCTGTGAAGTATAATTACACAAGCCTAGCAGGTGTGCCTACTCTACACCTGACTGTGTGGTGACTAGACAATGGGAATGTTTTGCCTACCATTGACTGCAGCATTGTTATGTGCACATGACTATGGGATAACTGCTTAAGCTGACACTTTTGATAGTCTAGAAATTCATGGAAGGGGGAACATAATGAGAAATGGTTACTATACTTTTTCCCCTTCCTACATTGTAGACTTAAAACTTTTTGGGAAGTTTGGGTATTGTTTTTTAAAATAATTGGTAGATCATAATTATAATTTTCAATTTTACCTTTTTTAGTCTTACAATAAAATACACTAAATTAACTAGTCTTAAAATACTCATCTCAAAAAACTCTGTAGTATGTTTTACTTGATACAATACGCATATATGTACTCACAGAGAAAATGGTCTTTCTTGTTGGTGAATATATTAGAATATATATTTCTCATAAATTCAGTGGCAGCAATATTCCTGGGAATGGATTTGTCAGGATTGAATCGTTCTGACCCACGGAAAATCTACGCAATGATTGGATTTGTAGCCTGGCATGTTGGAACTGAAATCATTCTGGAGATACATTCTTACCGACTTTCTCGAAAAGGTAACCTGCTTGAAAAGTCCCATTATATAGAAATACTTTGATACAAAATACTAGAATATATTTAGTTTCTTGATATTAATGGTTAACTCTTACATGGTAGATCACTAGAGTTTTCTGTTGTGATTTCTCAGCCAGTGGTAGAAATTGTGGAATTTTTCTGCCTTTGATTTTCTTACTCATATTAGAAATTGTGAGTAATGTAAGGGATTGATTTTAAGTTTCAGGGAGGAAGGCTTCTTTGTCAGTACATTTTGCTTTGCATCTGACCTGACTTGGAATTGTACACACTGAAAGCTCTCAGGTGTTAGTACTTGGAGCTGAAAGACCCCTGAGGTGGAGGGAGAAGAGGTACCTAAAGTCAATACAGGGCAGAGCCGGGGACCAATTTTACCTGTTCCATAAACTTACTATGTACTGTCACTTAGGTTGCATATATGTGGTATGTAGCTGGAAAGGAATGACATTGCCTTAGCTTCTAGTGACAAGATCCAATTTATTCTTAGTGCCAGGCAGGGTCAAGCCACAAGTAGCCATTAGGAGAGGAGAAATCGGTACAGAATGGGTGACATTTTAATTCGGATGGATTCTAGGCTAAGCGGTCTAATTATTTTTATACCCAAATGATAAGTAAAGGTGGCTCTCTAAAAACATTTTGTGCCTAGTGTATATGTCATGAATTTAGGAGCCTGAGAGACTTTTAGGAGCTATGTAAATATTATGGCCTGCCATTTTTGGATATTTTTTCCTTTTCTTTTTTAATTGAGGTAACATTGGTTTACAACCTTGTATATGAGTCAGAGGTATAGGATCACCACACACACCCACCACAAAGGCACCCATGGCTTTCCACCATTGTCCATTGGGCCCCCTCTCCACTTTACACCCCACCCTCCACTCTCCCCCTCTGGTCGCCTCAATTCTTTCTTTTTAAAAAGATTTATTTTTATTTATTTATGCATACAAGAACTGGGGTGTAGGCAAGAGATTCAGGGGAAGAAAGGACTCACCAGAGGCAGAGTGAGGAGCAGAACAGGCAGATCTTCTGAAATACACTGCTGAGGGGAGCAGTGGAAAAGACAGGAGAGGTCTGCTGCTTCGTGTGGGCCAGCTCCCTGGCTGGGGATAACTCATGCTGCAGTGGCAGGCCATAGCTTGATAGCGCTGAGACTTTAACCCATGCACCACCAGGGAGGCCCAGGCAGCCTGTTATGTGGTGACATTTCTAATGCTTGTTTGTTTAGTTTTGTCTCCCCCCTTGTTTTATTCTCCTACATTCCACGTAAGAGTGAAATGATCCAGTGTCTGCTTTTCTCTTTTTTGGTTTCTTTCATTTATTTATTTACTTATTTATTTAATTTATTTATTTATTTATACAGGCACTGGGTACAGTCAGAAGGGTGGGAGGGTGAAAGAATTCACCAGAGCCAGAGCGGGGAGCAGAACAGGCAGAGTGATGAAACACACTGCTGAGGGGAGCAGCGGGCGGCAGGAGAGGTCTGCGCGCCATGCAGCCGGGGATCGAACTGGCGCTGCAGAGGCTGTGGGCAGCTTCGCAACCCAGCGCTCAACTGCTGCGCCACTGGGGAGGCCCTCTTTTTCTTTCACTTAATATTATTCTCACCAATTCTATCCATGTAGTAGCAAATGACTGAATAGTATTCCCTTGTGTTATATCATTTTTGGTTCTTGATAAGGTTACTTAAGTGGGCTTTAAATAATCACTAAATTAAGGGTTTCTGTTTAAGAATACTTAAAGCTTGAATTATTAGAACTTTGATACTGGTGTTTATTTACTAGAAGAAGAAGAAGATATATTTTAAGTCCTGTGCACTTTTAGCTTATCCCAATTTGTGAGAACCTTAAATATGCAGGAAGTTTGTAACATTGGTAGTTTGAAATAGGAGAATGTGTACCCTGAAAATCAGCAAGCACTACAAGTGAGGGCTTTTTAAGAAAGAGTTAGTTTTCCTGAACTGGTCCAACCACTATGGAAATCTGTGTGGAGGACCTAAAAATTACTCAAAATGGAGCTATCATATGACCAGCAATTCCACTAGTAGGAATCTACCCAAAGGACACAAAATCATTAATTTGAAAGGAAACCTGCACCCCTGTGTTTATTGCAACACTATTTACAATAGCTAAGATATGGAAACAATCTAAATACCCCAAAACATGACTGGAACAAGAGGATGTTGTATATGTAGACACAATGGAATACTATTCAGCAGTCAAAAAAGATAAACTCATGCCATTTGCAGCAACATGGATGGAGCTGGAAGGCATTATGCTCAGTGAAATAAGTCAGAAGGAAAAGAAAAATATGGGGTGGTTTTGCTTATAGGAGGAATGTAGAGAAACTAGACAAAGGGTAAAAAAGAGACAAAAATAGCAGGCAAACATTAAATCTGAGACATATGGCAGGGAAGGGGCAAGGAGAGGGGGTCTAAACAGGAAGGAGAGCATAAGAGACTGTGGTGACAGTTCATGGGTGATGTGGTAGTGGGAATTTTATGGGGGATTCTACCTGAGGGGAGAAATCCAATATTATACAAAAATGAACAATGATGTTAAAAAAAGTAAAGTTAAATTGCCTGCATATCCACTGGTCTTACATACTTACCTTGTTCTTAACAGTTGAAATATTGGATGACACCAGAATTCAGATTCTTCAGTCATTTTCTGTAGCTGAAGCAGAAGTAAGTCTTCCTTTTCTTATTTATTGATACAAACCTTAATGATAGTAGTTTCTTTCTTTCATAACTCATTTTTTCTTTCAGGGTCATGCTTTTAAAAAGGCAGTGTTAGCAATTTATGTCTGTGGGAATGTGACTTTTCTCATCATATTCTTATCTGCAATCAGCCAACTATGAGCAAGCAGAGGCCTTGACTTTTTGCAGACCAGGTGATAAGCCAAAAAAAAAAAAAAAACAACTTGAAGCTTGTGCAACTGACTGCTGGAGCAGATTCGTGAATTCTAATTTGGAAAACCTGATCATGTCTGTAGAGGAATTCTGAAGTCTGATCTTTAGAAATCAACATTCAACAGGGTCCTATGGACCATAAACTGATGTTAAACCTTTATGTATAATCCTGCCTTATAATAAAAGTAATTAAAGAGAAATGACACTTAATTTTTTTTTTTTTTTGCTGAGATTTGAAGAATGTTAGCATTTAATAAAATAAACAAGTACTATTTGGAAAAACAACAAAAATGTCATTAGGATAAAAAGGAGAATGTATTAAGGTAAATGTTCTTTGAACTATAAAGGTGCTGTATTTTAAAGAAAACATTTATTTTTACTAGTTTATTTGAATGGTTTTTCCAATGACTTAATAGAAAAACTGTTGTTCAATTATGTTGTTCAGTTTGCAAGTCTTTTGCTATATGTATTTTGTTACTTTTCTGGTAAAGGTGGCAGCAGGGCTGAATCTATTATAGGTTTCATTAACATTTGAAAATATGAAATTGTCATTCTTTCATAACAACGAAATGCAAGGGTGCGTCTTTGGCTTAAGGACTATCTTTATATTCAGCTAACGTGCTGAAATGGCATTTTAAATGTTGGTTGTTTTGATTTTAAGAGTTAAATTCTAGTCTATGGATATTGGAGACTTGCATTTCATAATTAATAAACTTTACCTTGTGAACACAGCTGTTATTTTCTTTGTGAAATAAAATGTGTGGCATTGATTTGTTAGACGTTCTGATATTGTTAATCGGTTTTGTTTTCTTTCCCATTCCAAGAATTTATCTTTTATATTATACGTGGGCCTCATATTTGCTATGAGGACTCTTAGCCAGCGGGTGGCGCCATAATACCAAAAGAAAGCTTTATTCCTCTGGCTGTGATGCATTTTAGGATTTAAATAATGTCATGGGATGGCATTTCCTTTCCTAGCACCAACTCTTAATCTTTATTTTTAAAAATTTCTGTAGGTTTTTTTTTTTTTTGATGGTGTTTCAGGCTTATGGGTTAGAAACTGAAATTAGGGATTAGGTGCCAGTATTGCTATTTTCTGGTTTCATTTCTATTTTTCTATGTTTTCTAAACATGATTGTTCATAACAAATGTTTTATATTTCCCTTTACATTTCTCTGACCTCATCATAAATTAATGTAGTGCTCTTCGGCAAATGAAACAAGCAAAACTGAACAATTTAAAAATAAATATATTTAGGGAGGTATGTTTTATTTATTTAGGTGCTCTTCTGATGTATTTAGGTGCTCTTCTGATTATGTTCTAGTTTTTGCTTGGCCTAAGAGCCTAATATATATCTGTTGTAAGAAAAAGGTCCAGCTGTATATCCTACATCTTTTACTGGGTAAATAATAAAGAAGTTTTGTTTTTGTTCCTTATATTGGTGTTTGTCTTAGTAGCTTAGGGCTACTAAGTACTTATGTACTTTCTGTGTTCTATAATTGCAGGTTACTTGTAGCCTAAACAGTCCTTTTGAGTGTTTTTGTTTAAAAATTTTTTAGTATAGTAAGTTAAAAATATACTAAAATATTTTCTTCTAGTTTTCAATTATAATGAGCTTAAAGATAAATAAATTTCTTTCAGTAAAATATATTCTGTATCTGACAAAAATAATTAAGCAGAAGATGAGTTTTGGTGTGTTTGATTTTCAGATATGTGAACTTGCTAGATTTCCAGTGCTATGGCTAAGCTATTTTAACTTTTTTATTGAATTATCTGTTTGTACTATTTAAATTTATCATCAGCTGATATATACAGAGTTGTCAAAAGAAGTCTTTGTAACTTAATATTAATAAACCAAATCTTTTTATTGTTACCAGATTATGATCTTCTGCTTACACATTTTGAGACCTGCAGATTGAAAATGTCTATTACTTATCCTCTTAATTTTTCTTCTTATTTCTGAAATGAACAATATGGGTGGCTTCAAATATGTATCTATTGATAAGGGGATTATTAAATTCAATGTCTTTTTATCATCAGCAGTATTGCCAAAAACAGGGAGCAAAATCGTAAGTTTTTTCTTAAAGATGGATTCCTCTATAAAATAAAAATAATCATTTTTTTTAAAAGCATGAAACAATTTCCAGAAAATTGTGACTGGGATAGCATTCGTAATTGATGACATTTTTGTTTTTACTATTTCGGTTTATAGAAATCAATCTTGAGACCCTATAATATGTCATCAAATAAATGAATTAAATTCCCTTTAGTACTTACTTAATTGTATCAGGACTGTGACTCTAATGTGTTGTTAAGTGATATTCATCCCTTCCATATCCTGCCCCTGTCCAGGATGCCGTAGAAAAGACAGATGCAGCAGATGCCAACTAGGAAGCTCTAGGGGCACATATAACGTTTGGCTAAAATCCTATTTGTCTGTATACTCTAGTGAAGCAGGAAAAAAAAGAACAAAGGTCCTTGTTTCAGATAATCCATTACAGATGGGGATGAAAGAAAGGATTCTTCTAAGCTGTTTTCAAATCAGATTAGGGTATATACTTTCCCCGTGCACATCCTGCTGCTTTCCTCCTTGGCCAGTCCCCACCAGGCTCTTCTCTGGACTCAGGTCATTGATGGTCACCTGTGTGGGATGCCCTTTCTTTTCCTCTGTACCTAATAAAAGTAGGTTTATTAAGTTCTGCCTCAAATTATTTCTTGTCCATGGAGCCTTTCCTGACCGGCTCTCTAACTTGCATCTCTTCTTGTCCTTGACATCCTTATGAATGGGTTGGTAGTGAGCTGGGAGGCACTTGATTCGTAAATGAAAAAGCACCTGGAATTTGGAAGTGGAGTTGAAAGACCTGAGTGTGTGTATTTGCTCATTAATTTACAAGTTGCATGGCCCTGGGCAATTCACTCATCTTCTGAAACTCCTTCTTTCATCTGCCAAGTCCATCTAATGGAGCATTTGTGAGGAAAGACTAAACGATGCAGTAAAATGTGCTGGGTACATATGGTTGATGATGCCATTGCCTTTTATTAGTGCAAAAATTTAATAGTTTTTATATATAAAATGTATACTTTTTATTTTATAAAAAATTTTATGTTCACCACCTTGGAAACATACTGAGTACTAACCATAAAAAGGACTGCAATTGTATGATTTTATTTATTTATTTACTTTTTAAAAGATTTAAAAAATTTATGCATACAAGAGCTGGGGTGCAGGGCAGAGATGCGGGGGTGGGGGGGTGAGAGGATTCACCAGAGGCAGAGTAGGGAACAGAAAAGGCAGAATGACTGAAATACACTGCTGAGGGGAGCAGTGGGCAAGACAGGAGAGGTCTGCCTCGCCATGTGTGTTGCTCCCTGGCCAGGGATTGAATTCATGCTGCAGTGGCTACCAATAGCTTCATAGTGCTGCGACTTAACCTCTTGAGTCACCGGGGAGGCAAGAATTTGTAATTTTTTATGCAGATATTCTACCTTAAAAAGAAAGAAAGCTTAACTCCCTACTCAAACGTGGACTTTATCAGAAGGAAGGAACAAAGAATAATTTTATAGCAATGGTGATCAAAGCCAACATCAACAGTGATGAATCATGGTGAAAGTATGTACCCTTGATGTGATGTGATCAAAGTGGCACTTTACCTCTGTGGTTATCCTTCTCCAAGTTCCTGACTGGAATCTAATCATGAGAGAAACACCAGGCCATTTGCAATAGAGGACACCCTACAAAATACATGACCAATCGTTTTTGAAACTGTTAAGGTTATCAAAAACAAGGAAATTGGGCCTCCCTGGTGGCGCAAGGGGTTAAGCACTGCACTATGAAGCAGTCCGCAGCGCAGCCTCTGCAACACGAGTTTGATTCCCGGCCGGCCAGGGAGCAACCCACATGGTGCAGCAGACCTGTCCTAACTCGCTCGCTGCTCCCCTCACCAGTGTATTTCAGTCAGTCACCCTGTTCTGCTCCCCACTCTGTCTCTGGTGAGTCCTCTCACTCCCCACAGGTCTGGCCTGTACCCCAGTTCTTGTATGTATAAATAAATAAATCTTTAAAAAAAACAAACAAGGAAATTGAAGAACAGTTGGAGTCTGGAGGAACCTACGGAGAATTTACAACAAAGTAATAAGGTTTTCTGTATGGACTCCTGAAACAAAAACAGGACAACTAAGGTAAAAACTAAGGCGATCTGAATAAACTTGAGACTTTGGTTAGTAATATGTTCATTATTGTATTTTAACACGGACACCATATTTATGTGAAATGTTAATCATAGGGGAGCCTGGGTGTAGGGTACATGGGAACTTTGCATTATGTCAATTTTTTTGTCAATGTAAAAGTGTTCTTAAAGATAATGTTTAATATAGTTAGCTCTCGGGAGTTTATGTCTCCTCATTTTGGGGAGAGAGTTGAGATTTTTGTGTAAAGCAGAGCTGCATCTTACTAGATGGAGACATAGAGTTGTTTTTTGATTGCACAAACATTCAAATGTAGGCTAAATGTAGAATAAACTAGAAAGCTGAATTTAAAACGTGTGGACTGTGCCAGTCCATTTAATGCTTCATCTCTATATCCCCTCCTGGCCTGCCTTTGTAATCCTGACCTTGTAAACATCTCTCCTTGGCCTCCTGTTGCAATGTTGGGCTTTGCCAGTAGAGGGCACTAGAGGGATTCCGGAAGACAATTCTGGGCTTCTGCAAGCTGCAAGAGGGCACCTCCTTTGGGTTTTCCTACTTTCCTTTTCATCCAGCACAGGAGCCAGTGGGTTGGTATGTGGATGGCCCAGGCATATCTCAGCAACCCTAACTGATCATTTATGGTTTTGTCCTGAGGCCCCACTCTGCCTGCCTGGCAGCCATTTCCCCAGTAACCTCAGCCCTAGCCCCTAACACCTGCTGGCCACGCCGAACCACTTTTGTGCACCAGCCCTGGTTCATGTTCTTTGTCAAGGGGCTAGCTGATCCACCAGCCAGAGGCTGGTCATGTTTCCTCTGATGTTGCACAGCTTCCTTCACAGATTCCATCTTTTCCCCATCCATCCGTCCATCCATCCATCCATCCATCCATCCATCCATCCATCCATCCTATTTTTGATTACTCACTAGGTGTCACAGTGTTCCAGTAAGCATTTGTGTTCAACAACCCCTCAAAACCAATATCAATGCTTTAATCACAAAAAAGAGCTACCAAACAATGTGCAGGTCTGGCAAGTTACTTAAGTTCTAGTCAGAGCATGAAAGGGAAGGAATAGGTTCCTGTGCCCAGGTATTGGGCTGTTTGTATGAAGGCACCTCTGAAATTTGAATCTATGTATTTCCCAGAACATTCCAGGTCAGCAGAGGAGCTTTCTTTCAGAGAACAACTGCCTTTTGTAAACAGCTCCTTCGAGGTTGAAACTTCACAGGTTAATCTTTGTCCTAGCAGGATCTGCTTCTTTTACCTCTCATTACCCCCACACCGGTAACTAAGATAAGGTCCTACCATAGTCCCACCAGGGAAATTCGGATCCTATGCTGGGAGGAGACAGACCACGTGCCAAAAGAAAGACTTTGCAGCACTTGGGTAATGTGATCCACGGGAACATATGTGGGAGTGGACCTTGAGGGTGTTGGACAGGGGTCCGTACAATAAGGTACAGTAGGTAAGGATTTATTGACATGGGAATATTCTTCAAATCTAATATCCTGGCAAGAATACTTAGGAATTACATGCTGTGCACATCCAAAGTAGTTTTATTATTCATTTTAAGAGACATTGTGCTCTTCTTAGTTTTAACGTCAGAATTCTAGCTTGTTTGCAAGATTTTGTCCAAAGATCAGACCAGATTTGTATTTTTTGAGACTATGGTTACCCTTCCATTCAACAACTTTAGGTCGTAATTGGTCACTGCACCACGGGGTTCACATTGAACTGAGTGAAAGAAAAGGTACTATTTCAAGAAGGAACATGCCTGTAATCACCTGTAAAGTCGTGTGCACTATTAAGATAATCCAAATCCAGTCTCCAAATGTGGGACAACAGTTGCATGCTGTTTTGGATATATGCAAAGGTTTGAAGTCTCTATCAGATCAATTGAATTGGCCCTTAGCAGGAGGATGTCTTAAGATCTAGTTGTTTTGAGTTGACATGTTTGCGCATCAGAGTTGAAGGTGAATATTTCTGTGATGACGTACCATAGTGTCCTATGATCTTTCAATCTTTGCATATAAAATTACAATGTTAGATAATTGACTGCAGTCAGGCTATTTTAAATAACTTTATTCTTAAATTTAACAAGCTCTTATTAGAAATTCTTTGGTATCAATACAATAAAAATACAATGGCTTCCCATACCCTTCCCGTCCCCACTGAATCATGTCAGTAAATGGAAAAGTTTAACATTTGTTCTCCCATTTTTTTTTTTGAATTTTTCACAAATAATGACTACTGTTTATTCACATGGCTTAGTATGGGTACAGTTATAGTTTTTTTTGGATGTCAGAAAAAAGAAACAAAATATCCAGAAAAGAAATTTGCAAAGTTTCTTAGTTTCTTCTCCAAAGAATGTCTACATAGATGGCACACTTCTCAGATAACCTTTTTTCCCAGCTTTGCCATTCTCATCCTTAAAGCTGCAAATAAAAAAAAATAGAGATAGTTATGAAAACAGTCTTAATTTTCACTCTAAATGACCATTTCATAGAATGCAGGAAAGTTTGAAACATACCTCAGATGATTTTATCCAACAATGTGAGCATTGTTTTAGTAGCACAAAAAGATAGTAGAAATAATAAGCTATGGTTAACTTAGGACAGAAGCAGGTTCAGAACTAATAGGAACCTATTTCTATAAAGATTAGAAAAATTAGTAGAGCAAACAGCATAAGTTGATTAAATATAAGATTAGTGCACAATTCCATTATTAGCCATAGTTCCTATAGGTCAATGCCTGTTTTCTGAATATTTCTGAGCTCCGCACTGTTTTTTAAAAAGCAGACACTTAAACTCTAATTCATGTTGGGCTATCTTTTAATCCATCAAACTTGGTGATATAGAATGACAAAAATTCTTTATAAATGAAACAATATGCATCAGTGATTGGGAGCTGGAGTAATTATAAAAAAACATCTTTGTGAAAACATTAAGTGTACTTTCCAATGGTGAATATATCTTTTTTTTCTGAGCATATTCCATTTCTCATGGTATAATGGATTTAGAAACCATTTTTTTTGATGTAGATTTAGAATTCATAACAGTCCTCTGATTTTCTGGTATCATGCCCTTAATATTTAGGGCTTCAGCGAGCAGCTGCTTCAGTCATGTTCCAAAAGTTGAGAGATGGTTTCAAGGCACTGATCATTACATTCATCTGTAATATGGCCCAAGAATCAGCAATTTAATTGATTGCAGAATTTTGTTGGATAAAAAAAATTAAAAAAACACAATTCCTCATTTCTCAGCCATATATTACTGCTAACAAATGAACATATCTCTAAGATATATTCACAATATGAGAAGGAAGGAAAATCCGGTATTTTAAAAACACTTATGATCATTTTCATCGTCACTCTACTTATCTGTAATAATTTTCATTTAAATGATGTAAAGAGCATTGCTATCCTTGGAATCTTAAAAGAAACAAGTATTTCTAATGGTGAGGTCAAGAATATTCCTTTGACTTTAGCACCAAGAGAATTTTTTTTGCTCTGTAGCCAGGAGGGGGTCTCTACTGCTGCGGGGTATTGGATGGTGAAATCTATACTTAAACAACTGGAGGTGAACTGGAGGCAAAAGGCAAGACTTTACAAAGTTTCTACTCTTAGGTTTTATGAGCCTCTGCATTGCCCATATCAAAAAAAAAAAAAAGAGTGAAGGCAAAGTCTATTTTAAGGAACCTTATTTTAAAAGGTCTCTCTTAAGGCTTTGGTAAAGTTGTCCTCTCTACAGTTACACCTCACCTTGAGGTTCAGTAAATCAGGTGCACCCCATGTGTTGTGGACATTCAAAAATGCTCTTAAAGAATGTTTACCATCCTCAGGATGTTAGCATCCTCAGGGGTGGGGGAATCCAGTAACTCACTGTCCCATTTCTTATGAAGACTAAGAAATCTAGATTTAGCCTCTGCTATTCCTTTTTTCCCTTTTGTTAGTGCTATGGCTAATGGTGTGAATTCTCAGTGGATATGTGGGACCTGAGCCTGCTGAGGAGGCTGCTTGATCTCGCTGCTAAGAAGCCTGGGCTGTTAGCTCTCCTTTTCACTTCTCGTTTGCTCTTTTCTGATCTCTGCTCCCTCTTCCAATAGCACTTCAAACACATAGTGTTGGCTGACTGAACCTGGTGGAGGAGAGCTCGTCTCCTTCCTCTTCACTTCCACTGGCTCCTAACAGTTGCTACAGGCTGGTGATTTTGGCACCAGTAACATACAAAATCCCTGCAGCTGAGATTCTTCACCTCTGCATTCTGAAATGCCACAGACATCTCTCAGAGGGAGAAAAGAGTAGAAGGAATATAAGAGTAGGTTGGTGAGGACTACCAAGGAAGTCAACTGTATAGATGGAGGCACAGTAGCGCGGTCAGTCCCAGTGAAAGCTTGTGGGGGGCCACTCGGTGGTGGAAGTGTCTGCTACTGAGTTACTTACAATCTCAGAGCATGGCCCTGTAGAGTTACATTAAAAGTAAGACATTACTTTGCCCGAATTTTCTTGTCACACCTTACTCTGTAAAAGGCTTGACTAAGAGATGTCTTTAGGATCTCCAGGCTCTACCTTTCCCATTTTTTTTCTCCTTCATGCTCTTTTTCAAGTTAAAAATTGCTCTCAAATGAGGCTTTGATAACAATATTTACATTTAGAGGAAAGAGATAATTCTTAACTCTTATAGCAACCAGGAAATTTATATTTAGTAGAGGACTTATACCATAAATAAAGGAATTGATTGAAATGTGGATTTCCAAGTATCAATAAGCATTTATTGGGGAGTGGGTAAGGAAGGAGCTCAATCTCCTTGGTGTTGTGGAACTTAAGTGCACAGTCAGTTACATATTCTCTGTACGTGCGTGTTTATCCAACATATTAATGAATCAGGACATATTTCGACATGATATTCTGATTTTTAAAGCCCATCAAAAAAAGCCCTATCAACTCTATAATCCATGTGCTGAATTAGAAAACAGAAATGTGAAACAATATCATGATGGAAGGGAAGGAATTTGGAGCATTCTGTTTATAAGATGCTTTGATTGATAGTACAGAACTTTGTATTGTTGCTTTGTCTGGAATAGGTCTTCCTGTTTTCATTATTTTTGTTCAGTGACATGATTAGTGTTGTCTGGAAACTTTAGTCACTTCCTGTCTTTTTCTATGGGGTAAATGTGTGGACATGGTAGGGGAGAGGGAATAAGGGTCTGCAGGAGGAGCTGGCTTGCATCCAGTTCAAAAACAGGAGGTCCTTAGTGGGTAATATCAGTGCTCTTGATCAGAAAGAGTGTGTTGCTCTATTTTTAAGTTTTCTGTGTTGTTGTTTTAAAAATGAATTTAAGATGCAAAGTTTGATTAACAAACAAAGCTCATTCTTAAAACAAAGAGGGACTTTTGGTTTCAACAGGCTTCCATTGTGGAGATACACCATTCAACCATGACTTAGGAAGATAATATAAGTGTACACTTAGCAAGAGTTTAGAAATTCTTCAGATAATTAAATTTACAACTGGTGTGCCTAATTTCACTATTTGGAAAATGGAAGAGATTTATTCTGTTGTATTATTGGCACCTAAAATTGGGTTTACAGGGTGCTATGGAAAAAAATCCTTCTTGAATTGTGCAGTTATTACTCCACTTCTATAGAATAATCAGATTCTGTTTGCTGGATTAACTTGGACTTGGTAGTTATTGCTTTTTAATAAGAATTATTCCATTAAAGACATTTAAATTTGCTGTCCCTTTCACTACGCAGCGCCTATATATAATTTGGTTAGCCAAAGTAAGTACCACTATTATAACTGATTTTGTCTGATTCTTACTTATTCTTTATACTTGATACCCAGAATATAATATTCAAGTGATAAGAAGGAATCTAAAATTGATGAACGACCACTTTTGTAGAAAAGTGTTATTTTCTAGTCAATGCTAAAAAGCCAGATAGCTATAAAACTTGATAGTGATGAATGCAAATATATAAAAAATAAATTTTCTAAGTTAGGGAAGACTTTGCAAAATTAATTGTTATAGATAATGTAAAATAAACTGACATTTTATTTTAAAATGTAGAAAAATTAAGGAAATAAAATTAATAAAACTAGAAAGGTAGAGAAACAAGATACAGGATTTTTTTTTTTCAAAATTAAGGCAATTAACTTATGCCAAAAGTTTAAACCACAGCCCCAAATGTAGCTGGTATCAGATTCTGGTGGGAAAATATGAGATATTGATGAGCCAACATATTAATGATTCAAAGACGTTGACACACAGTACTACACCACGACAGGTGAATTTCAAGCCACAAAGGTCTATGAGTGCAACATACAAATAAGGCAACTATTATTTTTTAATTTTCCTTATTTTTTGAAATGACATAATTACTTTACTTATGGTGACAATAACTCAGATCAACATTAACACAAACCTTAGAGTGTATTAGTCTATGAGGTGGTCCAAAAAGCTGAAAGCAAGAGGATTTGTTAACTCAAAGAGAAGATTGTCACATGACTACACAGCAGTGGCAAGCTTTGTCATGCTTATTACCTGTTAAGGTCGGATCCTCAGTCCCATCACCAGCTAGCTGAACTTCAAGTGGAGAATTCTGGATAGGGCTGCCTAAGTTTTCTTCTTGCTCTTTTAGGGACATGGAATTTTTGTGTGGAGATCTGTGGTTTGTGTTTTCATGGGGTTTAACTTCTGATCTCTTCCTGGGAAGTGGTGTTGGTTTGACAGGCTGGTAAACCTGACTATAAGGAGCTACGGGATGGTAGGAAGGTTCCTCATCTCCCTCACCCTCCTCCTCATCATCAATCACCACCAGCTCAGCGTGGATGATCCCGTCATACCCGGTCAGAAGCTTCTTTTCTTCTTCGTTGTCTTCTGCCTGCTGATACCCCATGAAAATCATTGTCACAGGTTCTCTATCTTTCATGTCAGATGGCAGGGAATGAACAATATTGTATCTAACATCTTCTTCCTCCTGGGAAGTAGGAGAAGCACCTTGGGGTTCTGACTTCCCAACTAGGGCTTCACTGGGATTCTGTCTTGCCTTTGGGGAAGGTGAATACTTGTCTTGCATCACATTCGGTTCTTCCCAAGGCGTCGTCTGCCCCTTCTGTAGGGTGTAGGATGTCTCCTGTGCTTGGTGAGTCATTGATCGGGGACGAGGAATTGGCTGACTGGCACCAATATGATTGAAGCTGGTGCCACCCTCCTCTGAAAGTCCATTGTTCATACTGTGTACGGATTCATTCACATCATTTCCTAGTCCGTTAGCTTTCATCTTTATCCTTTCTTGAAAGTTTGGTCCAGGGGGTAATTTGTCTCTCTGTGGAGTGGTTGGCCTGTAAAAGGGATTGGCATATACAGGCTCGTGATACTCCGTTGGGGATTGAGAGTTTCTTTCAGAAGCTTGTCGTAGAAGTTCCTCTACCTCAACTGTTGCCAGGCCATCGGCGCCATTGTGTGCCACCCTCTGATTGGAGCTGACTGCGTATACAGACTTTCGCCCATCATCATATACTTTGATTCCTGTACCTTTAAAGTCATCGGATGGGAGAGGTATTGAAGACAGGACTGTACTTTCTCCGGTCTTCAAGTCTTTTTCAACCTTAATTTCCATGGCATACAAAGCTGTTGAAAGACAAGTTAAAAAAAAAGATTATTTATGCATACAAGAACTGGAGGACAGGCTAGAGGTGTGGCAGGGTGGGAGGTGTTGAGAGGATTCACCAGAGACAGCAGGGAACAGGACAGGTAGATCAACTGAAATACACTGCTGGGGGAGCAGTGGGTGAGTCAGGAGAGGTCTGCTGCGCCATGTGGGTAGCTCCCTGACCAGCTGGGGGATCAAACTTGTGCTGCAGAAGCTGCAGACAGCTTCACAGTGCAGCTCTCAACCCCTTGCGCCACCAGGGAGGCCCTTTAAGAGAAAAAATTTAAGCTTTGATTTCATTAACATTTTCTCTTGTAAACCAGCCTGTCTCACCATGGTTGTTAAGTATACCCTTTGATTTATTTTTAATGGCAATGTGGTTGTCTAGTTTTTACAATTCTGATTTATTTATCAATTATATAACGACCAACACCGTAATGGCATTGGTTTCAATGTAAGGATATATATGAAATGACTGAAAAATGGGAAAGATTGAAAAAGAGAAACTGAGGGTTCCAACAAGTAAAAATTTTCATCAGGGAACCAAAAACATCCTATTTCTAATTAATAATTCCAACCAGACAGATTTATATACTTTACTCAATGGGATGAATCAGAACTCTTCTTTAGTTAGACAGGATATGTCACAACACACATTACAGTAGGTAAGAGGCCTCCACAGTCTATTTTGTTAAGTTTCACAGCCCAGCAGTCTGTGGAAATTATTGAGAAATTTTCACAACAAGGAGGTTGTTTTAAGGCAGAACTGGTATTGAAGAGGGATGGTGAAGGCTAGAATCGCAGGAATTCTCATTTTGCCTTTCTCCTTTGAATTTTCAAGTAGGGATAGGGCTAACCATAGAGGGGAGTTACTTGTCCTGAAACAACTGGTGTGGCGAGAACTGGTTGATTTGGGGGAAGCTGAAGTCTGCTTCATGCCCCAGGTAAGATCCCATGGCCGGAAATTTAACTCGTACAATGGCTAAGAGGCTCTGGGCACAATTACAATGTGGCAGTGCTTCTTTTGTCATGTCTTTCCACCTTCCTTTTTAAAAATATTTATTCATTCATTCATTCATTCATTCATTCATTCATTTATACAAGCAAGCACTGGGTATAGTCAGAAGCGTGGGAGGGTGAGAGAATTCACCAGGGCCAGAGCGGGGAGCAGAACAGGCAGACTGACGAAACACACTGCTGATGGGAGCTGCGGGCATGGCAGGAGAGGTCTGCGTGCCATGTGGGACCCTCGCCAGCGGTGGGGGATCGAACAGGCGCTGCAGAGGCTACGGGCAGCTTCGCAGCCCAGCGCTCAACAGCTGCACCACCAGGGGAGGCCCCTTCCTTTTTTTTTTTTTTTTTAAAAAAAAAGATTTATTTATGATACAAGAACTAGGGTACAAGCCAGAGGTGCAGGGTGCGAGAGGATTTGCCAAGACAGAGTGGGGAACAGAAGAAGCTATCTGCAGTCTCTGTAGCAGGAGTTTGATCCCAGGCCACCCAGGGAGCTACCCACATGGCGCCCCACCTCCCTTTTTGAAACTATCTTGTTTTGCAACTCTCCTTGACAGCCGGATAGTTCTGGGCCTTCACTGCTTACCCAGCTACAACTGCGCCATGCTTGTCCACACTCTCCCTAGACCCCATCCCTCCTTTGTTCTTTTCTTTAGCATTTTTATTTCCTAACATGATATATTTTATTTTTTCTCTGTTTTGGGGCTTATTTTCTCTCTTAGAATGTCAGCTCTATGAGAGTAGAAATTTTTGCTATTTTACTTATTTATTGGATTCTTACTGTGAGAACTGACCTTGGCATAGGCGTTCACTAAATATTTCTGAATGAGTGAATTACTGCTATCTATAGATATAGATTTTCTTTTGAATCTAAAATTCAAAGGTTCTCTGTCTACTCCCATATAAGCTGTCAATTTTTCCTAGAGGTTTTGAAGTATAACGTTTTATGAAAATTATTCCCCCATTGGGGTAAATTATGCCTAACCTTTCCAAGGGAAAGATTTTCACTGTCCAAAAGGACCTTGGTAACCCAAGAGACTACCTACCAGATGGACTATATTGGGAGAAAGATTTTTGAGTAGGAAGCTTTGCTTTTGACAGCATCTGTTACTTTCAGGCTTTTATTGTCGCTGTCCTCAACTTGTTTGCTAGAAAATGAAATGCAAATAAAAAGGACTGTAACTTCATTATCTTTCCCTATACAAGTGACTCACAACTCATGGAACTTTGTAAAATGGACCATTACTTAACCTGTAAGTTGAATTTGAGAACCTGCTATTGAACACAGATTGCTCTCATACCTTTTCTGTTTTGCTCATCATCTTCTATTCCTTCATTTCTTTCCTTCCTTAGCCTGGTGGGTATGTAGGACTTTGGAAGGTCAGGGATATTAGCATAGATGTCTTCAATTGATGCTGTAAAATTTACATTAGTATAAAATACATTTAGAATATATTTATAACAATGGGGAGAATTTCAGTGGGTTTATAATAAAAGACATTGAATAAAACTGCTCAAAACATACCTTCTAATGGTTCTTCCTTTTCTACCTTCACAGACTATAAGAAAAAAGAAATTCTCTGTGATTAATATAGTTTGAAAAAGAAATTCTAAATGTGGATGCACTTTGAAGAATTATAGATTTTTTTTGTGGACTCATTTTGGGAGGGAATCATAACCTTCAAATTAATTATTATTAATTAATTAATAATTGCTCACCCTTATTATGTCTTCTGTTGTTCTCTCAACTGATTTCAATTTCTTTAAAATTGCCTCTTCATTGGTTGAGATTTGTAGTTCCGCCTTTTCGAGATTGTGGATTTCTTTCTCTAGTCTGACAATAAAAAGATACCTTTTACCGATTAAGCCAGTATAAATGCAGTTTCCAAGACTTTCTGTGGAATATCGCTTGTAAGTATCCAGATACTTTCTAAGAATATTGCCACAACTAAACATTTACATTTAGTACTTAATAGGTACCCAATAATTGACTCTGATATAATAATTTTCAATTTAAGTTCTACATTTTTTTGACAAAGGGAATTTTTGGGTAAACTGACCCTTGCCCCATTTTCTTCATTACAGTTAGTAATATTACTTAAAAATGAAATAGCATGAGTTCTTTTATAAAGAGATTTAAGTTTAATACTGAACCAAAAGGAATAGCACATCCAAAGTTACTATGTAGTTTATGACTTTTCTTACCCAAGTCTTCATATGTAATAACTGGAGAAAATATTGCAATACTGTAATACTATAATAATTTTTCTAGCCAGTCAATAACTTACAGTCATAATTATTCAACTTGATATAATGTTAATTTATAAGGTTTAATAAAGAATAAAAGAAATCGTGAACTCTCAGAAAATTCTAGTATTCTCCTGTCTGTGCCCTTTCTATTTGATTTTCACAAACATGTCATGAAGTGTCATTTGACTGTAGCTTCCTATTCCTGAGACACAGAGCTAGAGTTCTTGGGTGATTACATTTCAGGGAATTAGGGAGGGCACTGGCTCTGTAGTTGCTCCCCTCTTTTTTTTTTTTAAGATTTATTTATGTATGCATACAAGAGCTGGGGTGTAGGCCAGATGTGCGGGAGGATGAGCTGATTCACCAGAGACAGAGTGGGGAACAGAACAGGCAGACTGACTGAAATACACTGCTGAGGGGAGCAGCGGGCGAGTCAGGAGAGGTCTGCTGCGCCATGTGGATAACTCCCTGGCCGGGGATTGAACTCATGCTGCAGTGGCTGTGGATAGATTCACAGGTTGCGTCTTAACCCCTTGTGCCACCAGGGAGGCCTGCTCCTCTCTTTAGAGAGACCCACTGCTAATGGAATACCATGTGATTCTCATCAGTGCCTTTAGGAAAATAAGAATATGAGATTTAAAGTCTGTTAACCTCATCAAGGTGTCTGCTAATGAATGTTTTTGAAGGTTTTTGAAATCCCTGGGTGAAAACTGCATTAATATGAGGCTACAGTCAAATGACACTTCATGACATGTTTGTGAAAATCAAATAGAAAACAAACACCCCCTTTTGTTCTTTGTCACTTAGCTACAGCCAACTCTCAGTTAAATAGGCTAATAAGGAAGCATCTTGGTGCTAATTACCTAGACTCACAAACCTCTGACAGGAGATGCTTACTGATACAGAGCATTTCTTAAAATTCCCACTTCAATGCAAAACGCAGTATCCTATTTTTATGTGTTATTCGATACTTCTGTGTATTATTTATAGACACTAAAAATATCATGAAGAGGTACATGTTAGATATTTGTTGTCTTAGAAAAATATTTTTATAAGATCGGAATACCAGTGACAGTAATGCGATCCCAGCAATAGCTTTTGAGGATAATGAACTGACTTCTACCCAGACTCCTTCATCTACAGGTCAGAACTCAGTGGGCACTATATTAGCCCAGCAGAGAGAGGGGGTCTGACAACCTCCAACCAGATAATGCACCATGTTTTTTGATGACTGACTCTTTTCAAGGAATGTAAAAGAAAAATTGCAGCTATGACCTGTAGGGTAAAAGATTACTCAGGCTTTTGCACCATTGGCCTCTGTGGCTATCACCGAGGCTTTGAATGCAGGAGCCACTTGGGAGCATGGGCTCATGGCATGCAGGCCTGATGGTGGACACCTGGAGTATGGTGTGGGCCTGCGTAAGTGGGCACACCTGGGCTTAGAGACAGAGTATATAAGGGCGTCACAGAGGATAGACAGCAGTGGAGAGACCATGAAGAACATCAAAGCGAGCCCAGAGAGAGTGAAGATTTGCTGGGGACTATCAGGCCTCCCAGCCTCCTGCCCCCGCTGGCCCTCCTGCCTGTTCCTGGTGGCCTTACTACAAATGGCAAAGCCTGAAAAAGCCACTGAGGGCTCCAGGACTCTACGCCTCTGCTGGGATCCATAGAGAACCTGCTCTTTGCCTTGCTGGTGCAACAGACCTTTGTGTATCTAGCAGGGTAAGTCTCAAATGGTCCTCTGCAGCCCCTTCCTCCCGCTCTACCCCAGGATATAAATAGCTGGAGGCATTTGTGTTTGTCACAACCTGAGGAACACTACTGGTATCTAGCAGGTACAAGCTAGGAAGGCTGCTCGACACCCTCCATTGCACAGGCTGGTGCACCCCACCTGCTTATCTGGTCCCAATGTCAGTAGTGCTGAAGTTGAGGAACACTGGGCATCTCTGGCACTGCCTGGTATAGTGCAGGTGCTGGAGACATGCTTTATAGGGAAGTTTCAAAAATCCATCTCGGGCCTCCCTGGTGGCACAGGGGTTAAAGACAGCACTATCAAAATATCGCCAGCCACTGTAGCACAAGTTCAGTCCCCAGCAAGCCAGGGAGCTGACTCACATGGTGCAGCAGAACCTCTCCTGTCTCACCCGCTGATCCCCTCAGCAGTGTATTTCAGTAGATCCACCTGTTCTGCTCTCCACTCTCTCTGGTGAATCCCCCCCCCCACTTCTGGTCTACACCCCAGTTCTTTTATGCATAAATAAATCGTTTAAAAATAATAAAATAAAATCCATCTCTCTGATACTTCTTCCTAATTATTTCCTCCCCCCCACTTATCATAATATAGAATCCAAATTTACTGTTTGTTGGATAGAATTTAATCATGCCTATTTTAACTGAAAATTACTTTTCTGGTTATATTGCTTTTCAAGTCTCTTTCTCCCTTGATTTTGTTTTTTCTGTCTCAGTGGTCATAGCTAAAAGGATACTCCACTCTCATTCCAAGTTAAAAAAATATAGGGCTTAAATTAGGAGTTCATAGGGAGTCCTTTTTTGAAGGTTTTTGGGTGAAGAGAAAGATGTAGCATTTAGTATGACATATTGTGTATATACATATGTTTCCCCAATTCTTCACTTATACTGGCTAAATTTATGTAGTCACACATATATTTACACATTCATATAGACTTATCCATGGAGATAAATATCTATCTATATATGGACATACAATTTTAGTTTCACATAGACATGCAAAACTAAATTTTTTCTCCCTGGAAAACTTTTGAGGAGGTTGCTGGGGGCTAATTCTCTAAACTTCACCTGCTTATCTCTCAGCTGATGGGGTAGAATTTCCATAAGCTCTGCCATCCCCATCTTTAGAAGCTATTACCTTTCGTAATGGGAATTGAGCTCTAAGAATTGCTGATTCAGTTTGGTGAGAAACAGGTGGCAGAGAAAGAGAAATAACCTTCTTGGTGCCTCCTGGGTTATTAGGTGGGGCCTGATGGGTGGGTTGGTATTTCTCATAATTTAGGAGAGATGGTGGGCAGGCAGCCTGTGCCAATTTAGATAAGCAGAGTACATGGAAAAGGATTTGTAATGCTATCCATTATTCGGATCTTTCTTCTCCTTGCCTATTTGCTGGGGGAAAAGAGGTTATTTTCCAGTATTCCCTGGGTGAAAGCAGGTAGCTTTCACTTCATGTACTGTTCTAGTAATAACCTCCCTTAATCGTCACGAGATAATGTCTCCAATCCAATTTCAACATGCAATTTTTTGTCTTAGAAAAAGGACAGCAGCACATAAATGCTGGGAGCACCAAAAGGGGTTATTTCAGAAGGCAATTTTTCTGCTGGGAAGGGTCCATTTATCTCTTTCAGTTTTGGGTGGCGTTAACAAGGACTAACAATATGATGGAATTTGCCAATAAGAGCTAAACAGACTGGAACTCAGGAGAATAAGAAATATTAAAAGTGTATGTCCCTTTTGTAGCACTTCACTGTTACAACTGTAACATTTCACACATATTAAGTATTTACCATATACAGGCATTAGATTAATGTGTCTTCACAACAACACCCATGAGGACTGTTACCAGTTCCACTGGACAGATGAACAAGCTGGGCATCTAGAAAGGCATCTGGCCAGAGGTGGACAGGTAACCTCTGGAGAGACAGACTTTGAAATCCAGTCTGAGACAGAGCCTAAGCTTTGAACTCCCTTCTTTTTTTTTTTTAAATAATAAATTTTATTTTTATATTCCTCACACAATTGCAACCCCCCATTCTGACCCCAATCCCTCCCCTCCCCCCCCCCCCCACCCCCCATAGAGTGTCTCTGGTTCATAGTTTTTTGTTGATTTTGATTTTCACTTTCTTATAGTTATTCATTTTCCTGGTCCCTTATTTAAGTTTTCTAGATTCCTGCTATGAGTGAGACCATCCGGTATTTTTCTTTTTCTTTCTGGCTTATTTCGCTGAGCATGATCCCTTCCAGCGCCATCCATGTTGCTGCAAATGGCATGTGTTTATCTTTTTTGAATGCTGAGTAATATTCCATGGTGTATATGCACCACATCTTCTTGATCCAGTCATCTATTTTTGGGCATTTGGGCTGTTTCCAAAGCTTAGCTATTGTAAATTGAACTCCCTTCTAATTAGCTACTGTGGGAGCAAAACTTTTCAAAATGGTTTTTGGGAACTGACACACATTATCTTGCTCAGTAGTGTACTGAAGGATTTCTTCCTTTCTAGGGTAATAAAGACAGTGAAGATTGAAAGCCTAGCAGGGGTCCATCAACATGTAAAGGTGCTGTCTCATTACATATAAAGGTAATATTTTGGTCCTAACCTCCTTTGGAGTGATTTTGTTGTATTGGGAATTTCCCTGCTTCCTGGATAGTCATTCTCACCAGGATTAAAGCGCAGACTTTGCTATTTTATTTATTTATTTTTGCTTTGGCTGCTTGAGTTTGACTTTTGGTAGGAGTTCTTGAGTTCTTAGAACAGTCTTGTTAAGAGTTTGGGGTTTCCTAAGCAAGTGCCACTTTATAGTGAAATTTTCTTTGCTTGCATGTAGACTGTTGAA